AAGGGGTTAATGGGGGAAAAAAGGGGACATCTGTAATTTTTTCAACAATAAAGATAAATTTTAAAAAAAGCTCCTCCACTGATTCTAATGCATAGCCAGGGTTAAGAACCACAAATTGATTGGTATTCTTTAGCCTTCTATTTATAGGACTATAAGACATTTTTGTTAAAATTAGTCAGCATATATTTAGACCTGTCATGTGTTTAAGTGCTATGGATTCTAAACAAAATATAATATTTTGGATTTCTTGTACCAAAAGCTTACAATCTTAGGGAGGTGTAATAATATCTATAAAAGATAGTTGTTATTCTAACAGCATTATTTTTATAATAAACATTCATATATTAATCTGTACTGTACTGACTAATAATGATAACAAATTTTTAAAAAGTAATTAAAATGTGCTAGGTGCTATTCTGAACACTTTACATGTATTAACTCATTTAATCCTAAGAGGAAGGTACTATACTATTTTTATCACCATTTCCAATGAGGAAACTGAGGTACAAAAAGGTCAAGTTTAACTGCCTAAAGTTAAAACACTAGCAATAAGGCTGAGAATCAGGCTCAGGTAGACTAGCTGTTCGAGAATCAGAATTCTTAACTACTGCTTCTCAAAAATGTGCTTACAGAATACATATATAATAATGTAATAATATAATAACATAATATTAATATATATGGATCAAGAAGGACTATATAGACCTCACATAAAACAGTCTTGCTGAATGTGAAGTAGCAGACTTCTCAGCAATGAGGCCTTGAAATAGCCAGTGATCATCACTGGAGCTGTGCTTATCTAAATAATAGGAGGATGAGTGAAACTGGAATATTCAGACATCTTTTGTATAGCTAGCAGGAAATGCTGAAGAACATTTTAGGGATACTGAAGCATATCTAAATATGTTGTTACTATGTATAGCTGGCAAAATGGGAAGGTAAAGGCTTTGGGCCAACTCTAAATATGGTATGGGATCTTAAATAGCTAAGTGACTTCAAATAAAGACTGCAGCAGAAAAATCAAGACCTTATCTAATATTTTACAGTGTAATTAGGCTCTATTGGCTACTCACAGGTTGATTTTTTTTTACATTCAAAAATAATTATAGTAATTGAATTGAATAGGTATATGCTATATGGTCATAGAAGTAATACTAAGTAAAATTTCAAACCAAGTGAACTTCTGATCCTGTTCATAGAACTAAAAGTCTTTTTTGTAACATTTCATGGGAAATGACTTTGGCTATTTTGTTACCCCTGGAATATAAATTCGTAAATTCTGCATTGTTAAAAAAAAAAAAAAAAAACCCCACCACCAACAACAACAAAAAACGTAGACCTGGGCAAATGAAGTAAAATAATTAATTATATTCCATTGTTTCATTCCAGTGGATGAATATATTGCAATTGCAAAGGAGAAACATGGCTACAATGTGGAACAGGTATGTAAAGAAACGTTTTAACATTAAGGCTTGCCTCAACATTTACAAATCCAAAGAACAACTCATGATCACTTCTGTCCTAAAAGTGCAGCAGCTCAATCAACTTTAGAGATAGTAAAAGTCCTAGCAAAGTCTTACCTTTGAACATGAAGGATTTTGCTTTCAAAAACATTTGTCTCAAGGGCTTGACCATTTTTCTTTAAATACTTGTTTCTTATTCTACTTTGAGTTTTAAAAGCATCTGAAAGCCTTTAGGATTGCTCTGCAAATGCTTATCCAAAAGGAAAAATTTTTGAGTACACGTAATTCTCTTTGACTTTTTAATCTAAAAGAATTTAACGTTAAACTTAAAGAAATATTTAAGACTTTTCAATTATGGATGAAATAATTCACAAAGAGTTTTTTAAAAATTAGATAACTTTAAAAGGAGATTTATGTGGCTTATGCTTTATTTATCTCTAGTAATAAGGGGATGAAGAACATGGAAAAATAAAAATGAAATAGAGATTTTTAAATTTCATTTCAACTAAGTATTAGATCGACCTTTATCAGAAGCAGTAGTAAAATAAATGAATTACCGGTAACCTGGATTATAAAGAGCTAACTCTATAGTCAGTAACATGGTTACATAATAAAATCTAAATGTAGTTATCTTTTTTGTGAATTTTGAAGCCCTTATTTATGTATTTTGTTTTTAGGCTTTGACTTTCTATTTGATATTTAAGAAAGTTAATACTTTAAAAGTGACTGCATGTATGTTCATTTTCATCTTCATTTTAAAAGAGTATTACCAAAGTATACAGAAATTAACTTAAAAACTCAATATTGAAAAAGTTGCTAAGTCTCTAAGGAAATAAAACTCTATCCCCTAAATGATATTCAGCACCTTAGTGTAAAGATAAGGGCCTACTGCTTCCTATAATAGAAGAGGAAATTGTGAACTCTTGGAAATAGTCCGTTTCAGGCTTTCCTATGGTTTGCTAATAAAGTCATTGAAGTTATTAATATACCTCATAATAATTCTTCCTGTACATTATGATAATAAAGAACTTTAAAATATATATCTGATAGATTGTTATAATTGTAGTTGAGGTACTCTTACTTCTTAGGACTGTTTAGTCCCTGATATGTTTCTAAAAGGTTAAAACAAGCATTTCTCTACTAGGTATCGACTGAACAGTTCTAGTTTTGTGTTAGAATCGACGGTTTTCATTCAGTTGCTGGTTTACTGCATATTTTTCCTTTTAGCATATTTTTCTCTACACATTGACAGATGAATAAATGTGGGTTAAAAGTCTTGATATGAGCCTTCAGACCTGCGTTAGTAATTATAGTCACTCTCCTCAGCTAACCGTTTCTTAGATTCTGCAGCAGATATGGTATGTAAGAACATTCTCTATTCTGAGGCCCTGATTTAAAAGAAATAAATAAATGAGGTCTGCTACTTAGGCAACCCTGATTAAAAGCCCCAAACTGTGAGTGTATCTTCAGTTGAAGTCATAGGCTTAAGATTTTAATGTAATTTGTGTTTAATTCTCTTAACTGTGATGGCACGTAAATCCATTAAAAACCAAAGGGGATTGATTTCTCTTCAAAGGCACTTGGCATGTTGTTCTGGCATAAACATAACATTGAGAAGTCCCTTGCTGATCTCCCTAATTTTACTCCCTTTCCGGATGAGTGGACAGTGGAAGATAAAGTCCTATTTGAACAAGCCTTTAGTTTTCATGGGAAGAGCTTTCACAGGATTCAACAAATGGTATGGTAATTTTGGTCTTACTGTGATTCATATCTGCATGATATCTTATGCTGATATTAAACACTTCCTAATTACTAATTAGAAAAAATGTCTTCCATTCATTTTAATTTTTTAAAATATTTTGGAAAAGGTTTATTTGCATACAGTCCTATTGTCTACAATCACTCTAATGCATGACAGTTACTTGCTATTTCATTGTGATAAATTAATTTTTATTATGACAAGTATACGTGTAATAATATTGTTAAAAAAGTTTGTCATTCCAGGAGAAAAGTCGTAATTTCAATTTTATTTTTTAACATAAGGATTTTATTTTATAATTTATATTCCTTTGGCTCTGAAAATCAATTTTTAAATATTCAGTAATTCAATATTGCCTAGATACTGTTGCCTTTTTTTTTAATGGAAGAAAATTGCTCTTTATTTCTAGCTCTTAAATTTTTAGTATTGTGTCAAAACAATATAAACCTGAGAAGTTGCTGCATTAAGCACTTTTAACCTGAATTGATAAAAACTGCATAGTGTTTGCAGATACATCAAAGTGTCTTCCATAATTGAAAAGGAACATTTTTTGTTGTTTTTTTAATCCTCGCCTGAGGTTTTTTCCCCCCCATTGATTGTTAGACACTAACCACCTAGTCACACTTGCCGGGGCTCAAGACGAACATTTTTGACTGCGAGTGTGCATTCTTGTTTTCCTGTATGACAAATCAGTGCATGATCATTAGTCATTTTAATACCCAAAGAGTTTTATTTGGTAGCTAAAGTCTATTTGCATTATTTATCATTTTAAAACCTGGATTTAAAACAAAATGATTTTTAAAAAATCATTGTTAAGAATTGAATAGCTTTTCTTGAAAACATTGTGCTAACTGAAAGGAGCCAGACATAAAGGTCACATATTGTATGATTCCATTTATATGAAATGTTCAGAATAGGCAAATCCATAGAGATGAGGTTAAGGAGAGGAGGAGTGACTGCTAAAGGGGTAGGGTTTCTTTTTGAGGTTATGAAAATGTTGGGAATTTAGTTGCACATAGTAGTGAATATACTAAAAACCACTGACTTATACACTTTAAATTGGAGATTTTTTATGATAATGTGAATTATATATCAGTAAAAAAATTCTAATTTACAAAGGGAAAAAATAATTGAGTAACTCTTTAAGGAAAACATATTAAATACAACTGTGCTGGGGACTTCTGAGGCCACTCTCACTGTGTTTGTGATATCTTCCTCCCCTCCCTCAGAACAAATTGGCATATTTATTCAGAAACGTCAGTGTCATAGGTATAATAGGTGTGGGTGGAGTGCTATGACTATAACACACTTTTTATTTATATAATTTATAAAGGTACTCATGAACATTTTTTTAAAATCTATGCCCTTGTTTGCTAAATATCAAAGAATATCAGAAATATTTATTCTGTTAATTGGAGTTTATGAATTAAACTTGCTAATATTAACATGATTTTTTTTTTTTTTTTAAGCTTCCAGATAAGACTATTGCTAGCCTTGTAAAATATTACTATTCCTGGAAAAAAACTCGATCTAGGACAAGCTTGATGGATCGCCAGGCTCGGAAACTAGCCAATAGACATAATCAGGGTGACAGGTAGGTTAGATGCCTTTATATAGTTACTGTATTGGATTGATTACATTTCCTAAGGCAGAAAAATTATCGCAACACTGTAAGTACTTCTTTCTGCTCTGATAGGAAGGGCTGTGTAATCAAAAACCTTAATTATAAGAACTCTCTTCAACTCTTAACTGTTAATCGTGGCCAGCAAACTTTGCAGCTGAGTTATATTTGAGCTGTGTTTGACTGTGATCACAAATGCTTCCTTTTAGTATTGATATATTTAATACTAATAAGTAAATTCTCTAGAAGATGCTCTTTCCACAATTACCTGAGTAACTGAAGTCCACGTTACTGTAGCTGTATCTTTATGGCAGTATAAAATAATTTTGCCTACTGGTTTTTGTGTTTATTTTCTAATGAGAGAACTGAAATGATAAGTATGATATCAAATTAATATATGTGTTCACTTTCCCAAATGGTAGTTCTTTCTAAATATCTTTCCTGTTGGGTCTCTTTTTTCTATAGCTAGAAATGTTTGCTAAAATGATTCTGTATACCCTAAATGTTTCTAAACACTGCAGAAATCTAAATTATAAAAGCTCCTCTCTCCAAGGCAGCTCTTGTTCTGTTGGGGAATATTTAGTAAAATTATTAGCAAGGTATATTACCATTTGATAAGAGCACTGGAAAAGAATAAAAAGAAAGGCATTAAGTTCACTAATCTCCATCTCTTCCCAGTGACGATGATGTGGAAGAAACACACCCGATGGATGGAAACGATAGTGACTATGATCCCAAAAAGGAAGCCAAGAAAGAGGTAATGGCAACCGTTAGAGCGCTGGCAGTTCCACACGTCCACTCAGAAAGAAGGAAGGCCACTTCATGTTAAGAAAAATGTTTTTACATAATGACTTAGAAGGTTGTAAATTCCAATAATAATTAGAGTTTTTTGGGAAAGCGTGAACATCTAGAACTCCAATTAGCCAGTAGTTTAAGTAATTTTGGGGTTATCACAACCACTCAGAAGTATCAAAAGCCCTGTCACAATCTCTGCTTTTTAATCCATAGAAAGGAAATAAAATACCCTCAGATGTATTTGGCGTAAAATTAAGCTTTCTGGTTGTTACCCAATTTTTTATTTTTTAAAACAATTTTTATTTTATTGATTTTAGGGGGAGAGGAAAGGAGAGAGAGAGAAACATTGGTCTGTTCCACCTATTTATGCGCTCATTGATTGATTCCTCTGTGTGCCCTGACCAGGGATCCAACAGCAGCCTTGGCTTATCGGGATGACGCTCTGACCAACTGAGCTACCTGGCCAGGGCCTACCCATTTTTCTTGAAAACGTTTGATGTTGTTGTTGCATATTGTACCAAATTAGAAATGAGTAGCAGGTATACTGACAGCAGTGAAAATCAAAATCTACCTCAGAGGAAGAGGTGGAAGAATCCCCAACTAGCAAAGCACACGTATTCCTCAATGTAATGACAATAACGAGGACTTGAAGTCATTAAGAACAGGCTAAACTGATACACATACTCATTTATTAAGGCAAGGAATTACATAAGTGTAAAAAGTAGACCCAATGTTGATGTGTAAAGGCTTATGAGGTACAAGCAGCTGTGGAATAGTGAAAATAACATTGAAATTGGAGAGACAGAACATGACCTCATCCAACTGAATGACTCTTACTCCTTTTAAGGAACTCGGGGCCGTAACCCATTCTAGCCATTGTCATCATCTTAAACTCTTTCATCAGTGAAATTGTGAAAATCCTATTCTTACCTCCAGTTGATATTTTACTGTGTTAATATTGCAAAATCGTCTTACAGTTACTCATCCCTTTATTTTTCTCCAAATCTGACCTGTTTCCCTGAGCCTAATGATCAGCTACTTAAATTGTTTTCTTTCCAGTATCTTTCACCCTCCCTCATCCTTCTACTATACCTTCCCTAATCCTATCAACCTACAAAACTGGATCAGTCAGCAGGAGAAAATGGCACAGTCATATAAATTCTTGCTACTTACAAAAAGTAGTTTTCAATCTCAGTGTAGTCCTTAGCACCTCTCAGTTTTTAACCTCTTAAGCCTCAGTTTTTTCCATTGGTAAAATAAAAATAATAGGATTGTTTTGAGAATCAAATATGTGTAAAAGCACTTAGTACTCAGTACATAGTAAATTTTTAATAAAAGTTGCTGTTGTTCTGTAATCTGAGCAACTATTTTGGACATTTATTCCTTTCTACACATCACCTACTACCTCTCACTCCCCTCAAAATCTTGGCAGATAACTTCACCTTCTACTTCATGGACAAAATATTAAGCAGGAACTCCCTTAAATTCCAGTCTTTCCCCTAACCTCTGTTCTACCACAATACCCTTTTCATCTGAGTGTATTTATACTTAGAACATTATACTAAAATATTGTATTTTGCCCACTAAGCTGTGAAGCCTCTGAAGGCAGGGTCTGAGTACATCTCATACCCCTTAGCACTTTACACAGTACTCATTGTTTACTTCCTTGCCAATATTTGATATGATTAGACTTTTAAAATGTTACAGCTCTGGTAACATGAAATGATATTCAGTAATGTCTACTGAATGAACAGTCTGTGCCTGAATGCCTCTCTCACAGAAAGAAAGGTTCCTTCCCTTGTTCTGTATAATTTCACTGCTTGTTCGAGCCTGTTTATCCCTTCCTATCGCCTCTAGGACTTTTCCCATCAGTCATTCCTTCTCTGTGCCATATATTTACCCTTTTCAGTACAGCCCAAAAGTATGCACAGGTCTCCCATTTAAAAACATAACTATCTCTCAACCAGTCTGGAAAACAAACCACTCCTTAGCACTCTTGAGTTAGCCTCAGTCAGGCTTCTTCTGTCCCTTCCCTTCCCTGACTGTTGAGAGGTCATCAGTGACCGCCTAACTGCCACATGAGGGGTTAAAGATTATTCTTTGTATTCTACTTACACTTTTTGTCATTTCATGTTATTGACACCTCCTCCCCCCTTCTTCCTGAAAATCTCTTGACTGTAACACCCTTCTCTGATTTCCTGTCTACCTTTTAAACTGTTGTGTTTCAGCTTTAGTGGTTCCCTCTTTCACTCACTCTACTCATTTTGTTGTTACTTTTCATATTCTCTCAGGTAACTATAAATTTTGCCCTTCCTCTTTGTTCTTCTGTTCGCCTTATTTTTAGGTTCTCAGCTCTGAATTACTTCATCTTACCTCCATGCCGCCAGACTCTACACCACACCTTCCAGTCCATTCTTTACCCTGTTGCCAAAGCAGTCTTTTTAACAACCAAATTTATTGCTTGAAATCTTAGTTTTGTTGGGGTTAGGCACCAAGGTTGACAGTTGTTATTTGAAGATTACTGTTCTTCTGATTCTGATTTCTGTCATTGCTGCAGAGACGTCTGCTGTCAGGCTAGTTATCCTTTTGGAGGTACTTTTTCATCTCTGTCGACTTTTATGATCTCTTCTTTGTCTTTAGTGTTCTGTAGTTTCACTTTGATGTATCTGAGTATGGATTTCTTTTTTAAACTTGCTTTGGATTCATTGTAATTTTCTGAATCCTAGGTCTTCTTAAGTTGTATAAAATTCTCATTTGTTGCCTCTGAATATTGCTTGCCCCTCATTCTCTCTCTCCTTTTCTTCGGGAATCCCTTTAGAAATATAATGGACTTTCATTTGTCTCTTAACCACTCATATTGTGCATCATTCTGTCTTTCCATGTTTCTATACTACATTGTGGCTGTTTTTCTCATGTGTACATTCTAAGCCAACAGTTTTGTTTTTTCAATTCTTTTATTTCTCTTTTTTTTAATCCTCACCCATGGATATGTTTTCATTGATTTTTAGAGCCGGGGGGGTGGGGAGGGGAGAGAGAGAGTAAAACATCAGTGGAGAGAGAAACGTCGATTGGTTGCCTCCCGTACACGCTCCAACCGGGAATTGAACCCACAACCTTTTGTCTTTTAGTGTACGGACAGGCCCTTTTTTGTTGTTGCTTTTAGTGATTTGAGAGACAGGCAGGGAAAGAGAGAGAAATACCGAGTTGTCATTCCACTTATTTATGCATCATTGGTTGCTGCTTGTATGTGCCCTGACCAGAGATCGAACCGACAACTTTTGTGTATTGGGACGATGCTCTCACCAACTGAGCCACCTGGCCAGGGCCTGATTTTGATTTCTTTGTACACATATAACATTTATTGTGTTATTTTTATTTAGTGATGCTAGTATCTGCAGTCTTTGCAGGTATAATTCTGTTTTGTTGTTGTTAATCTTCCCGAGTATATTTTTTTCCCCATTGATTTTTAGAGAGTGGGAGGGAGGAAGAGAGAGAAAGAGAGAATGAGAATCATCAGTGTGAGAGAGATACATTGATTGGTTGCCTCCTGCATGCACCCCGACCAGGGCCGGGGACCGAACCGGCAACCCAGGGACGTGCCCTTGACTGGGAATGGAACCTGAGACCCTTTGTTGCTGGGGCCGATGCTCTAAACACTGAGCCACACCGGCCAGGGCAAAGGTATAATTCTATTGTTTGCTTCTCTGTCTCTCACTCACAGGACTTCTGTAAATTTATAGCTGTGATCTCATTTTCCTTGGAGCATATTTGAGAAAAACTTTGAGACCTGGGTTTAAAGTGCATTTTTCTAGAGACTGTTTGCATTTGCTTCTGCTAAGTGTCTGAAAGCCCACAATCCTGAGACACTTAAAATTTTTTATTTTGGGTTTTTCAGGCTAGACAGGTCATAAAAATTTAGTCCTCAAACCTGCTTGAATGTAGGCCTATGGTTGGGGATTCTCAGGGAGACTTGTTTTGGTTTCTTTTCCATTTAGCCAATGATAAGATAGACATGACCCCCTTTAATCATCCTCTGCTTCTGCAGGACGGGCATTTTTTTCTGGTTGCACAATGATGAGGTCCCTTCCAGAGCCCTGGCTTTATCTCCTGTGCCCGCGGTCCACTGAAGCCTGGGCTGTAGACAGATGCCAACTCCTGCATACTCTTACCCCTCTGGAGTCCTGCTTTCTCAGCATTTCTGGTCTCTGAGGAATTTCCTCACTTCCCTACCAGCTCAGGAATGAATTTTAAAAGACTTTTTTTTAAAAAAGTATTTGATCCAACAGTTTTAGGAGTGCTGTACTAGGAGGTGTTTCCCTGAACATCAAGTCTGCCATGTGTGACTTTGAGTTGGATTTTAAGCAACAAAGTGGATTTTGCTTTATTATATAATTGTTTTATAACTTTTGCTCACAGTTCATTTTCTAAAGAATTGGATTATTAAGTCTGTTCTGCGAAACAGCCTTCAACCTAATGGACACAGTTTCTAATGGATTTCTGTCTCAAAAGCACAAAATAACATATTTTTATATCACACTCTAAGAAAATTGCAGGTAATAACGAAACCCTCCTTCATTCACGGTCATCATCATCAGAAATTTCTTACTGTCTTCCAAAATGCAAATTTACATATTGTTTTATTCACAGATGACTAGATTGAAAGTTTAGAAATGTCATGATTAGGGTAATTGTTTGTTTTTTAACCTTTAGTTAGAGGCGTACTTCTCTTTCAACAACTCTAAAGTGAGAGTGAAAAGTTACCTTGTTGTACCAGCTGTCTAATCTACCACTTCTCATAATTCCTGCTTTGCCCCTTTTCTTACTTTCTTATAAAAACTTTGTACTTAATATGAATAGCATTTTCCCCCCTTTATTGCTTAGGGAAATTATATCCCCTCTGGAAGCAAACAGGAATAGTTTAGAGTCCAACTTATTTTTTCTTTTGTTCAGAGTCCTCTGGGTGTAGAAATCAAACATTTTATTGAGTGGATTAATCAGGAATACATTATGTTGTATGCTTATTTTCCCCCATTTGGTGAGCTGTGTGTGTGTGTGTGTTTGAACTCATACATAATCTGATTGCTTAGAAGTATTTTTCTAGATGTACTTACTCCAGCAGGTACTTCTATTAGTAATAGACAGTTTTCAACTTTTACATGTTAAAAACTAAACGACCAGTTATTCTATCTTTATTTTTCTAGGGTAATACTGAACAACCTGTCCAAACTAGCAAGATTGGACTTGGAAGGAGAGAGTACCAGAGTTTACAACATCGCCACCATTCCCAGCGTTCTAAGTGCCGTCCACCTAAGGGCATGTATTTAACCCAGGAAGATGTGGTAGCTGTTTCCTGTAGTCCCAATGCAGCCAACACCATCCTGAGGCAACTGGACATGGAGTTGATCTCATTAAAACGTCAGGTAGTTTATAAAAGTTACAGTTTTAATGATTCTGTCCCTTTCGCTTATCCACTTTACCTCAGTAAACAAAATGTTGTAGATTTTTCTCAGTGACCCATTTACATAAGCTTCGTTCTTTAAAATTTACCTTGTTTCCAAATTGTAAGATACTTCTGTCAGTTCTAGGTTTGAATCCCAGCATTGCTACCTGTCAGCTCCAGGATCTTGGGAAATAGTAGAATCTCTCTCCACTTCAGTTTTATATCTGTGAGGTGGGGGTAATAATCATACTACTCCGACAGGCTGTTGGGAATTGTTTGAGATGATGCATGTAGATTGCTTAGCAGCGTTTGGCACATTGGAAGGCTCAATAGTGGCTACTCTCTTCATCGTCATCATTAGCACCAGCAGTAGTAGCAGTAGTATTGTAAGAGTATCGTCATCATAATCCAGTAGTGGTTAAGCACCAGGATTCAGACTCAGTGAGCCCAGGTTCTAACCCTGGTTACACCATCTACCTCCTGTGTAACCTTAGGGAGCTGCTCAACTTCTCTTAACTTCAGTTTCTTCATCTTGAAATGTGGATAGTCACGTGATGGTTGAGAGGAATTAAACAAGATAACGTATCATAAGTCCCTAAGACAGTGCCTAGCACAAAGCAAGTACTCAGTGAATGGTGGTTAGGTCTCTGGCCTTTCTCAGTCTTCTTTTCCCTTTGTTGTTTGTTTGTTTCTGTTATTGTTTAACCCTCGGGTCTAGTTACTCTTCTAAGTCTGTCCTTTCTTGGACAGCCAACCTTACACTATGTGGTAGTGACTTCTGAATCAACTTCTCAAGCTGTCACATTTCTCCCAAGCTCTGTAGCTGTATTTCCAGCTACCTGCTGGACATTTCATCTAACCCCCGAAAGGTTTTTTTTCTCTGTTTGCTGTCTGTTGAAAACATCAGAATCATCATTGATTCATCTCTCACCAGTGTCATTGCCCCAACACACACATATCAAGTGGTAACCAAGTTATGTGAGTTTTATCTCTGAAATTCCCTTTAAATCAAACCCCTCATTTTTAATCCCATCTCTGCTACCCTTGTGCAGGCCCTCACCCCTCTTGCCTGACAATAATTGTCTTGTTGATTCTCCTTGCTCAGTGTGTGACAGGGAGCACCAACAATGATGCTTAACATAAAAAACACCTAACAAATATTATTCACCCTCATCATTGTTATTGGAATAATTGTTATTGATCAAAACATTATGGCAATGAAAAATGGTGATGGATTTTAATTCCTATATATCAGTTATCTTTGGTTATAAGAGACATTATTAAAAGATATGCAATAACCATGATTTGTGTACTCTGTCTATTAATCTATTACATAGATTATATGTATATAAGTGGATGTGTATATAAATTGAATGAGTGGAATATCACACCCTAGGTGTGATAAGTGTCTATCCGCCTGAAACAAAATTTAAGAGGGTTTGTACATACCCTTTTCATTTATTGAGTACTCAGAAATTCACTTAAGTACGGTTCTGATTCATGTTTTGGGTTATCTTTATTTAAGGTTCAGAATGCTAAGCAAGTAAACAGTGCACTTAAACAGAAAATGGAAGGGGGAATTGACGAATTCAAACCTCCTGAGGTACGTTATTGAAGAATATATGTGACTGAGTATGGTGAAGCCTTTTTCTTTGAGTTATCCAGTGTCCAGCTACTCTTTTGGTCACATGTGTTAATACTTTGAAGGTTTAAGGTTTTATAATATGGATAATTTGTTATGTGTATTTTGTCATTTAGATAGTCTTTTGAGACTTGGCTAATGATTTAAGTTAAATCATTTCTTTCCTTTCTGCCTTTAGCAATTCCTGTCAAGCAAAGTAATTAGGAAATACAGCTATACGAGTAGGCCCAGTGCCTGTGAAACTAGAAGGTTATTGATGAGCAAGACAGTACATTCCTGGGCCTGCAGCAGTGTTCACTCAAAGTCCTTTTCTGCTTGTGTGAATTGATAACACAGCAAGAAAAATATCACCAAATATAGAGCTCATTTTAACAAATTTTAATTTTAATTTAAGATATTTGTCTTTTGGCTGAGATTTCCAATTAGGATTTTAGTATGCAAACTTACATTCTTGTACTTATAGCCCTGAGGATATGAAATCTAAAAGCAATATATAAATTGACCATTTTCCCAAATCTTGCTTGTATTTCAACTCAGACTTACTGTTTTGCTATTTGTGATAATTATAGGTGTTAAATGCCCATAAGGCCCAATCAAGTCTTTTAACAGAGCTTCTATTATAAAATCTTTTTTCTCTTTTTTTTTAAGACTCCTGTGTTATGCTTCATATCCTGGACTTGCCTTTCTGTTTATGTAATAATCAAATAATTTTATTTGGTCCTAATGGAACATACCCCACCACTAAATCACAGGTTGAAATATCTACAAATGAAGTATGTGTGACGGGCTGGGTTGAGGCAGAAGAGTGCTTCAGAACTAATGCACCCTATGCCATATTACTCATTACAGTCTTTCAGAAGACAGAATCATGAGGAAGTTGTTTTTGTTTGTTTTGAATAATCTCTTTTGGGAAATGGAAAAGAATGAAATATACATAGACTAATGTTCCAAACCCACAGGTAAACTGACACACATTCTGGTGACATTTATTTATTGAAAGACAGTGTGATACCAAGAATACTACTGTACTTTTTATATTATTGCAACCAAAAAAATTTTGTATTGAAATTATTTTAATTCCTTATTTAATTATGCATTAAAATGCATAAAAGCAAAAAACTTAAAATGCCTGTAATATAAAAATATAACTTAATAATTAAATTTAAAAATGCAGCAGATGTTGAAAACATTATGGGATACCATGAAGAACTTGATGCCAATATGTTTGAAAATTTAAACAAAACTTCGAAATTCCTAGGAAAAAGATGTCTTACCAAAATTATCTTGAAAAGGAAGAAAACCTGAGTAATTTACAATCGTTAAATAAAAGGAAAGAAAAATCAACATTTTTCTCAGAGGAAAACACCACGCCCAAACAATTTTACAGAAAAAGTCTACCAAATTTTCAAGGAAATGATCTTTCTAATGTCAAATTTTCCAGAAAAGTGCGGGACTGCCTCACTCATTAACATCGTATGAAGAAAGACGGGCAAGCATAGTAGCCCTTACAACTTGCCTACGTGCTGCCTCATTTGAGGCTCACAGAACTTCAGGTAGATGAAGCAAATACTAGTGTTTTACACAGGAAACGGCCTCAGAGAGAGTAACTCTGAGGCTCATGTCTAGTAACTAGTGAGCCTCCAGCTATATTTCAGATTCTTAGAGTCCAGTGGAGTCCTAGATTAATACCATGCTGCTTCTTACTTTTGGCGGTTTTCATGTAACAGCAAAATCGTATCATACTTTCTCCCATTTAAATGCATTTACTGAGTTAGAAGTTATTAAACATTTGTTATATCTTTTGGTTTATCGTAAAAATAAATCAAAATGAGACAACCACCATCTTAACTCTCTACCATTCGTACATTGAAGTTTGAATATTACTTTGAGGTTGATTTATTAAACTCATATAACTTGAAAATGCATATATGTTTTATCATCTAGAAAATGCCCAACGTACATTTATCGTATCATTCCTTTTGTTTTACGAGGAAGAGCAAACTGAATAGATATACATATTTCAAAATACTAGATTTACAGTCATAGTAAAGACCTTGAAAAATCATGTAATCTATCCCCTTATCTTTAGCTTGGGTAATACCTAACCTGAAGAATTTCTAACCTTAAGAATTTCGCTCACTTTTGGAACAATAGGCTACTAAATGACATAACTCAACTGGAAGTTAACAGTTACTAAAATGCTTTACTTATTCATTTGGTTGTATTCTTTTCATTTTGGGAAAATTTTGATGAAAAAAGCTCATACTTCGGTAAATATGTATCGATCACTTATTTCATACAAGGCACTTTGTTAGGCCCTCTGGAAAGTGTGTGTTTGGGAAAGGAGGGATGAATAAAACTGAGGAAGAGATGGATTTTTCCATCCGCTTTAAAAAAAAAGAAAAGTTGCAGTCTAGATGTTACAGGAGATACTGATGAAAGTTATATAGATTTATAAGTGAAGTGTTACAGGAAAATAAGTCATTAATTCGTTCTGCCTAGGAACATCAGGGAATGCTTCCCAGAGGGGAGTGTTTCAGCTGAGGTTCGTGGGATTTTTGCACATACAAAAAGGGCAGGCAGAGGGAATCATATGAACAATGGCTTGGTGTTGAGCAGCACATTAAAAATATAAATCCACCGGGAGAAAATAAAAGCATTTTTAAAAACCATCCACAGGTATCCCCTGAGCACTTCTTATGTGCTCATATTGTGCTAATTACTGTTGAGGATTCAGTGGAGTGCAAACCATTCTTTTCTCGAGTAGTTTATTGTCTACTTGGGTAGGCAGACTTGGATTCAGAGGACCAGTGGACACCGCGTAGGAGAGAGATTACAAGGTAGAGCTGAACGGGCCTTCATGATAGAGATCTGTGGGCAAGGGCCATAGTACAAGTCTTGTGAGACCTAGGAAGAGAAGTCTGGTGTGAAGACTTCCTATAGTTTCTTCAATATAGGAAGGAGGTAATAAAATTTTTAATTTCAGAGAAGTTATCCTGTTGGTGTTATACAGGATAATTTAGAAACTTCACAGCTGCTAAAATACCAAGCATATGAGTGATAGAGGAAATGGTAAAGGGGCACCTGGTAGGGCCAGGTATTAGGTGTAGGAAGGGACAGCAGGTGATAAAGAACATTGCGAAGCAGAAATTAGTGTATCTCCTTGAAAGTATGTGAGAGTATTGGGAGTGGTGGCATGTTGAGTTATGCTTTGATTTGTTTTGGGTGGAGGTAATTAGGTGGAGGCAAGGATATTAATGAATCCAGGAAGCAAGAAACTGAGAAAGGCTTTTGAAGCTAGAAATCTGCCCATCCGTGGATGTTTTCATGCATGGGTTGATGACATTCTTTCATTTTGGATGTTGGATGGAATTTTTGGCATTGGTGGAAAGTTCAACTTGGTGACCTTTTCTAACTCTTCCCACTCAGAGATGTTATAAATCTACTAACAAAAATGGGAAAGATACAGAGACAAAGAAATTTATCAGGGAAAGAACACAGTAAAGATGCCGAATACAAGACTAAACTGTGTTTCACGTACTCATAACTGTAAACCTACTTTTGCCCACCCCTGTATTGGATTGTTTTGTTTCATACTAACATTTTATTATTTTAAAAACAATGGTATTTCAGACTGGGGTTTGCTGTAGAACATTCTCAGTGGTACCATCCAGTTCACCGCAACTGCCACACAGTTTCAGATTCCTAGGTATATAAACAGGTCTCTACCGAAGCTTCTTGGGTTTAAAAGAGAGTATAAAAATTCGTAACTTAAGAGAATCCTATGTATTTAAAAATTTTCACCCTCTCCTTCAATCTGACCCCTCTTCCACTGCTTGCATTTAGTCACACAGGCTGTTTAATGCAAGTCACCCCCCAGCCGGCCCCACCCTGCCTTCTCCACTGAGGTTTCTCCCTAAAGGTTGGCTTGGTGCTGATGACCAGTTCCCAGGGCTCTAACTCCTCATTACCTTTGCCTTTTTCTCCGCCTGGACATAGATGACAGCCCTCCCTCCCTTTACCGTTTGAGAGGTTATGATTTCCATCCTAACTAGTACATCTCAGCCGTAATTTTCCGTCCTATACATAGATGTAGGCATTCTCTAAGTTTTTATTCTCGAACTCACTTCTCTCTCTTCTCTTTGGAAATATCATACCATCTTATCACTTCACTATATTAGAGTGACATCATATGTACATTTAAGTGACACAAATTCAAAGATAGGTATACTGCCAAATAAAAAGACAATGTTTAGCCATAGCAGATGCAGTCAAGCTGACAACTCTGCTTGAGCCCCGTCTGCCGAGTGCCTGCCCGGAGTGAGCAGTTCTGAGGCCGGGAAGTGAGTCCTGCTCCTTTAGTCAGTTTTAACCCCCACGGGCCTCCCGTGTGCATATGTCCTCGAGCTGAGTGGGACTCCAGTATTTAAATATGTATTCCTACTTTTCATCCACTACTACTCTAAGTTCGGGCCAAAGGCTTCCTCTGGAATTTAACTGCAAAGCTCGCGGTCCGTTTCCATGCTGGAGGAGTGCCTAGCCATGGGGGCTTGTGTGCCTGTCTCTCCCCATGGCCGCCTTGGTAAGAGCACTTCCAAAGTAAATGGGACAGAACTTTCATAAATTCATAGGCTGAGTTTAGAACCTCACATCTGAGTAAGATTTGACTCCATTATTTTCCCTCATGAACGTTTTCCAGACCCTTAAAAATAAGTTTGAATAGATGAATCTATGTTAGCCTAAAGTGGAACCTGCTCTCCACCTGAATGTCCTGCTTAATGCCGCATTTTCAGTGTATCCTAGGTCGAATTCATCATCTTAGCCCTGCCTTCCCACATCTCCCAGACCAGTGTTTCTTCTTAACTTCTTAAGTCCTTCACAGTGTCACCCTTCTCCCCACTTTCCAGGCTCCAGGTCTTACCAGAATAGGTAGGTTAAAATATCCCCCCCCCCATATTGCTTAATAAATTTAGCGTAAATTCATCAACCTTGGTATTTACTGCCCTTCCAAAAGTGGTCCTTGCCATATTTTAGTTTAGTTAAATCCCACTGACTTTGCAGGCCTATCACTTCTTCCTGACAGGTCCTGCTGTTCCCTCTGCATACATGGCGTGCCTTTTCCTGCAGCCTTTCAGAGACTTCTGTCCTTCAACCCATCTCCACCTCCAGGCCTCCAACTTTCCCTTTCTCCCATTTCCATTCATTGTGGCTTTTCTCTCATCTTTGTATTCCCAGTATACTCTGTGCTTTTCTTATAATAGTTATTTGTGTTCCTCTCCCCTCCTGATTTGCTTGTACACTGGCAATAAGTTTTTATAGTGCACACTATTTCTCTTTCATTTTTTGTTCCCTTTTCATTAATGGTACCTTTTCCTGCAGTTTCTGCCTTTCAGATTTAACAAACATAAATTGATCAACTTAAACTTTGGTTGTTCAGGCAGTGTGCTAGATTTTTTTACATATATTCTAAGTATATCTTTATGTATGTTTTACACGTATTCTGATTTAATCCTCAGAACAATTTGCAGTGTGGTACTATAGGAGACCCTCAGTATCCAAATGCTTATTGATCTGAGGGATGCATGGAGAAGCAAAAGTTACCAAACAAGAAAATATTCACTAATAAACTGAGCACTTATAGAATTGGGCTCTGCTCACCACCTTTCCCGAGTTAACTCCAGCTGTTATCTATCCCATCCGTCATATCAACATCTTGCCTCATTACCTTCTTGATAATACAGTGCAAATGCAAAACAAAACAAAATGAAATTGTAAATCTTGCAAAAGATGCAAAACTTCATGAGGCCTATGAAAATGCAAGAGAATGGCCTTCATCACTTGCAGCATTGTTGACAGATGGGTATCTAACAAAATAAACAATGGAAGAAAAAAAGGCGATGGCTCATAGATAAGCATTTCAATAAAGAATAATTTGATTACCAAACATTGAGAGGCCCTTGAGAAAATTGTTGAATTCTTTAAAACAAAGGTGACTCATTCTGTGCTCATGTTACGCATTTCAAAGCTGGAGGATGTTATACCATTCACTAGTCAGAAAAGATATGCCAAAAAAATAAAGGAAAGCATGTAAGTTCATTATTTTTTTAATGAACTTTTTATACGTCTTAGTTTCGTATTTGACATTAAATTGCAATCAATCCTTTATTTTTTTGACCATTTACTTTGAAATATTTGGGCCTGTTTAAAATAGGTTCTAATATCAATTATCCTTGGGTAACAAGGACCTCTTCTATCTAAGATAACATCATATTGCTTGGGTGTTAACTTAAATACAAGCTTCTACTCCATTCTTGTTATTCCTCTTGGGGGAGCAGATGTTTAAATTTTCTAGTTTTCCCTCTATCATCTTTTTCTTTATTTCTTTTCACTTCTTTAGCCTTAATTCATCTTTTTCTCATCACTGCCTCTGTACGTCCTATTCCGTCTCTTTCCCTTTACTGTTGTTCTTTTGCCTCACCGCCAGTATCCTAACCCCGAGGATTACCCGCTGTCTGTGTGGCCTGCTTGCTGTTCTGTTTTAGCTTTATCATCTGGAATTCAGTGCTTTCTGTATTAGGTTTTTCCCTCCCTTTCTCTAAGTCCTATTTTCTTTTTTCTCTAATAATTTTTTTTAAATTTTGAATTTTTGTTTGTTCTTCTGAATGCCTACTTATACCTCTTCACGCGTGATAAGGAAGTTGGCGTTACTCAGAGCATCTGTGCTGTCAAAACTCTTATTGCTGAGACCAGGAGTAAGATAAAACCTAAACCCCCCCTTCTCAAGGGAAACCTTTCTTTCTGTTTTGCCCAGCATGTCCCTGTATCACACGAGGGCACTTTACCTGGGCAGTTTCTACTGCAAACCTTGTAGGCTGGTGTACTTATTTCTGTTCCTCCATTTACTGCCAAAGGTCCTTGCTTACTGTCAGTGGGTATACACTGTTCACATCTGATCAGGTGTTTAATATTGCAATATTGCCATAATGAAAATCCTAAACTTAGGATTTTTTTGAAACAAAAATATTGAGAGGAACATGGGAGGCCTTGGGGGAGAAATATTCTTATGATGGGTCACTTTCTGCTTCAGAAATTTAAAGAACTATTTTAGGGTGTAAGCTTGATCTATAATTCTGTGTTAATTTATACAACACTATTTTTGGTAGGGTAAGGATAGGTAGTATCTAAATGTGAAGAGAGTAAATTTCAGAAAGAGTCACAGATCCTATCTAAAGAAAAAATGAAGTTCCCTAAATGTTTAAACGAGGCTAAAATTAGCATTTGCAGTGGCTGATAGGAACATTGTAATTGGAAAATGAGTGATTAATAAATTTTCTCAGTTTTAATATCTCTGACCAGAGTATAAATGTGAATGTTGTTCATTCTCACAAATTGGTACATTTTCCTTTCATTATCTTTTTGTGTGGGTAAAAGGTAACTCAATATATTTTTTTAATCCTTATAAAAATGGAATCTTCCAAATTCAGAGTTTTAGTAATCTGTTGTCTGTGATTTGGTGAAAAAAGTAAATAAAAGTAAATAAGCACTTTGGAAAAATGTCTGTCTTCATATCCTCATTAGGAAACTTTTCTTTAATTTTGTAGTCAAATCAGAAAATTAATGCCCGTTGGACCACAGAGGAGCAGCTTCTAGCAGTGCAAGGTATATTAAAGATAAGCAGTTCTTGTTGTTCATCGTTATCTAACTTGTCCTGAAAGGTGGCTGCCCTAGTTCTTCCCTGCCGTTAGAAATGGATTGAGAAAGGGCTCTTGTGTTCACTGCAAAGTCCTGGTGACCAGGAATTCTGTTTTGTCCTTGTGAATATGACACACTGAGCCTCTGCATTTCGAGTCCTGAACAGTGCGTAACTCATTCTCGGAACTAAAAAAGGGATGGTGGTGACAGGCTTGCGCAAGTCATTGTCTCTCTGCCTCTGCCTTGGTATTCCTGCAGTTGGGTTCGTTCTCACCATATCAGGCATTGAAACTCATGGGTAAAAGCTTGAGTACACCAGTATGTGTTTCTTGTTTCTCTGTGTAATAGGGTTTCTCTATTTGATAAATGTCAGGTATCGAAAATATTAATGGTGTGCTTAACTTTCGGTGAATTATAACTTACTTAAGAGCTGTGCCACTGAATGCTTAGAAACCTGACTTTAAAAATACAGATATTACAAAAAAGAGACTTAAGAGACATATCAAAAATAAACATTTAGCATTTTTAATGCAGTACAGTATTTATAAGGATATTTTGTTGAATTATATGGCAGAACATTTTTTGTGTGAGATTGTGTGAGAAATACTGTTGGGCAAATTGGAAGCATTATAAACTTGGATTTTCACATATTTGACTTACTTAAAGAAGGGAAAATCGTGTATTTTTATTCAGTGTTGTAGATTTTTTTTTCTCCCTTCAAAATAAACTATCTGCAGGACTGACTGTAATTTTAAGTTGGGTCTACAATTTGTTCCTTCCTGGGTGAACTCTCTTTTTGTTGAGCACTAATAGCTCTTTTCTGTAGGTTAACTACTATCAGAGAATTGGGCTCCAGTGAAAGATACAAGTATACCTTTAAAAATATTTCCAAGTATCCAAACATAGAGAACATATTTAACTCAAAAATGCTATGCTAGCACCATTTGGATGAGAGTAATGTAATTAAAGATTGATTAATAGGTGGCTCTGCAGTTTGGAGTTAATAAGAATTAGCCAGCCAGTGTAACTTGAAAATGTCACAGGAGAATGAAGATGGCCTTCTCTGTGGCCTCTAAAGCACAACAGTCATTTCATAAATAAAAATATTGGGTCCTGTGGAAGCAAGACACTGGCTATGCATTGAGCACATCTCTAATTGTAGAACCACCTTTTTGAATGAGTGAGAACAAAGTTTAATTAGTTTATAATGTTTGGTAATAGCTGTTTTAAAATTACAAACTGGTGATTTCAGTTTTTTATTTAAAAATTAGTATTTTTAATGGCTTCTTCAGATGGCTTCTTCAAATTTATTTAGAACTGTGACTTATAGCTAGAACATAGTATTTGAGTAGGCATTGCTTTTACTGATGTAAAGCCTGTGTTTCCCTCCATCGCAGTCTATAGCCTATAGAATTTAACCCTGGTTTCCAAGATTCAGTTGCTTAAAGATTAGTATATTAATCCTATACTCTAGTGTAAGAAATTATCCCAGTGAAAGGATTTCTGAAGAGAATCATGTAGGAAAATCTGGGCTAATGTTTCTCTGTACAGCACTCAGGATTCCATACTGTTCTTACAGCACTACTTCAGGTGATAGCGTCCACTGAATCTTACGCCTAGGTTGGCTGTTACACAGAGCTGCATTCCAGGGAAGGGACAGTTGCAAAATTTACATATATAGTGTGAGCTACATATGTGGTCATTATCTCAGCTTATAAATATTAAAGAATTGAACATTTATAGATATAATCAAACATTTCTTCTCTACTGAGATATATTCAGTATTATGTTCTTACGCACGTCTGAAAAGTAACAAGTTACACTAGTGCAGCAGCAGTGTATACAGAAATATGCATGTTCTTAGGACTTCAAAAGTACTTTCTTACCATGTTAATATCTTTGTTTTTATTTACTTGACTCTTTGTGTGGAATTTTTGTTTTCACTTTTTTTGTTGTTGTTAGGTTTTTTTGTTGTTTATGTTGTTACATAAAATAAAGCAGTATAAAGCTATTTGTGTCCAAGATCGTTATTTGAGGGAGAATTAAAAAGTGCCATTTTTGCCTCATGTGACCACACATTTACATAATGCTCAGAAGTATGTCTTATAAACAATATAATTATATAGTAATGTCACCTGCACCTGAGTCTCAGTGTGGTTGAGGTACATAATTGCAGTTTTTATTTAAACATGTATGGTTTGCTATCAAGAGATACTTATCTTAGCAGGCAATTGTTTTTTGTCTTTTCTCTTTCTTTTTAATCTTTATTTATGATAAACCTTTATATGGTGTTATTCTTATGGCCCTTTCAGTTTTACAAAGTAACATGTTTTAATTTATATAGCACTTTATACTTAATACATTTTACATAGATTTAGCACGCATTTGTTAAAGGCTTTATTTTATCTTGCTCATAGTTGACTATTACAGTGACCTGGAGAGAGAAATACTGACTCTAGTGTCACTAGTGAGATTAATAACTCTACTATTAAGTAAACTTTTGTTGTAACTCTGTTAAAGCCAGATAAATATATTAAGATAATTTCCTAGAGCCTAAATATATACTTCCCACTTTACTTGCTATCACTCATACTGTTGTTAACTAAATACTAACAATTTAATATTTAAATAAGTGAATATTATTTTAATAATTTCAAAATAAGTAATAATTATTTCCCTTTTGCTCCCTTATTTAGAAGGGGGGAAGGTCCTGCTCAGATCACATAGGAATGTCTATTTATCCTGGTGTAATGTATCACTTCATTACATCAGTTTCAGTTCTAGCTATGTTATAACTTCAATAACATTCTTCAGGAGTTCCCAGATGGGATTTTATAGATGCTGATAATTTAATCCTCTTAAAATACTTGCCAAGAATGCTATTTCTACAACTTCTATAATCTGTTTCAGCCTTAAGTATCTAAATTTTCTATTATAACAAGTTAGTTAACAGTGAAACCAATTATAGTCTTCACATATTTGTATTAATGGTGAAATATTCCTGCTTATAGTTTGTGTCATATAAATGTTTTTTTTTTCTAATCTGTAGTGCTTTTAGAAATTATCCTAAAATCAGTCTTGATATTCATATGATAAACATTTCTTATTTAGCAAAAATTAGGAAAGGAAATAGATTCTAGGTGGGTTGTTGTTTTTTTTTTTCATGAAAATGAAACAATTGTGCTGTATTAAAAAGTAACAACATATTTAAATGATAAGACAAAACATTTACTCTTTAAAGTACATAAGGACAGAAGCATGGTATACAATATTTGCCATTTTTATTTTGGATCTCCTCTTAAGTGTACAATATTTATTTTATAGTCATTAGTGCTAAAAAATAAAAATGCTCCCCAGCTAAAATATTTGTGCTATTTTAGGATAAACAACAAAAATGTTTCCAGTTTTATCAAGATTTCCATTTTAATTTTTAGTTAGGTTTTTTTTTTTCATATTGTCAGCCTTCTCCCATAAAACAAGAAACAGCAGAACTACATTCAAGGGGTAGGTTATGCTTGCAGTTCATTGTTGCCTCTCTCCCTGTAGTTCACATTCATTCTGTTCTAGGAGAAACCAAGTTGCAAATCTAGGACTTACCTTCTTTGTCATTTTATCTCATACTTTCTAAAAAGTTAGAATGGCCCTGGCCGGTGTGGCTCGGTGGTTAGAGCCTCCGCCCTCCCACCAGAGGGTCATGGGTTAAGATACCTGGTCAAGGACACATACCTGGGTTGCAGGTTCAATCCCCGCCCCGGTCAGGGCTCGTGGGAGAGGCAACCAATGGATGTGTCTCTCTCACATCGATGTTTTTCATCTCTCCCCACCCCTCCCTTCCACTCTCTAAAAAGCAATGGAAGAAATATCCTCCAGTGAGGGTTAAAAAAAAAGCTAGAATGGTTCCTAAAGGAGGGGAAAAGAAGATTTGGCAGCTGGTTAAGATATAACTAGGACATGAACGATGAAAAGGAAGTGGAAGTAGGAGGTTCAGACCTTTGCATCTAAAAGGCAACCATGTGCTTTAGAGAGTGTCTTCTGTAATAACAGATATGATAAGAATGGAGATCAAAAAGTATAATTGTCAGCCCTCTGATGCACTTGCTTCAAATAATTAATGATTCAATATTCTGAGCATTTTTATGATGGAATTTAACTTATACCTATGGAAGATGGGAATGTAAGACTCAGAAGAGAAAGGCTAGACATTGGAAAAGAGTATTATGATTTGACTTTTAGCACTGGCAGAGATGTACCAGTCACTGCCCCATTGCAATGGGTATCTTTTTTATCTTCTTTAATACAAATTCTTGAAGGGACTTATAGGAAGTAGAAAGTAATGCATGTTTTCAAATAGTTTGAGTTTAAAATTAATCTCTTATTGATATGAAAGAACCACACCCTTGGAGTTTCCAAAATTTAAAAAATAACTTCTTAATTATACCAAAAATAGGTTCATGATATCCTTTCTATATAAGAAAAAAAGAGCCTATAATTCCATGTCCAGAGCTGGGAAGAAACCCGGTATCACTGATGTTCTGAAGTTACTGTCTTACTAGACAACACTCAAAAAAGAGGAATGTATGTTTTTTTTGTTGGGTAATGTAGAATACTGATTGGAAAATGTGGGCTTTCCTAAAATGTAATGATAATGCAGTATCCTAATGAGTTTTAGTTTTATGTTACTTCCCAATACAGAACTTGAAAGTATATATACTAAAGGTTGTAAGGTTTTATGTGCCAGAAAGGAGTTCATATAATTACCTCCTTTCATTTTAACTTTGAAATGAAATTTAGAAATCAGACTGAAAACAATTTTTCTCTCCCTGAGAAATTTACAATTTACCTCTTCCAGGGTTCTCTAAAGTTTTATTCCACTAACCTTTGAAAACTGGCCTTGTGCCCTAAATGTGAGAAGTTTTGTTTCAAACCATAGTTCAAATGAACCTAAGCCTTTAATATCTTCAGGGAGAGAGAGATTTAATGACTGTATTTCATTTCCTTGCTGATAAAGCAGTCAGGTGACCTTGTTTATTATAAACTGTGAAAGAAGAAGGGGCCATCCTTACCCAGGTACAAATTGGAACTAAAGGAGCTCTGATGCCGTATGTTGTTAAAGTTAGTTGCTCAGCGTTGTTACTGCCGCCAGATTGTCCAGGAGCCTAGCTGGGGATTTTTCTAAAGGAGCAGTTCTATTTAGTCTTTAATTGGTGTTTTACTAGAGTTTGCCTAGTTATCAGCCACTGTATAAAGCTTAAAAGTTCTACCTTATAGCCAAAATATAACGTTGCGCAGTGTTTTTGGGAATGCGAAGGTAGTAAAGACTTCTGTGTGACTTCTGTGGTTGGAGAAGAAAAACAGAATGAAGCCTTATAGGGAAGAAAAATCAGTCATATTTCCTGAGCACTCCTGTGTGCTCAGCATTGTGGTAGTGCTGGTGCTGATGTGTATCCATAGGACTGTACTTCCCAGCCTTTCACATTGTGGCAAACAGAAAATGATGAAATTTGTCACAACACACAGGGGAAACAGATGAGGGACTGCCACGGAAGTCGACTCATGCCCCGACCCTGCGCAGGCATCCTGCAGACTGAGGGCACTAAATATCTGGGCCCTTTGTTCCAGAACATGATTGGGGTCCTTAGCTAGACTGCAGAAGTCTACGGTGTGGTGTGAACCTTAACATTTTGCAAAGTAGTTAATATAAGACTGCCATACACAAGTTAATAATAAATATAGCTAGGTGACTTGGAAAAGGTTCTTGACATCCAAAATGTCTGGGAAAACTAAAGCTCCTGTAGGAAGTAGCTCTGGTTTGGTGGTCTGTAATTCTGGAAGTGCAGCAATATTGTGACAAGGTCAGGTCCATTGAGCAGGAGAACATAAAGTGGAAGATCAAAAAGAATAGAGTCAGAAGAAGCAGGGACAGTTAGAAGAATGCATGTGGAAACAACTTAATGGTAGGTTTTGGAATCTATTTTACTCCGCAAGTAGATGTTCTGTAATATCTTCAGACTTGGAGTCAGAATTTGTCTTAATGTGAAACTCATGTATTCAGTAGGGTTTGGTCATTTCTAGAATGTAAGTTAAATATCTTTTTATGAAAATTAGGGTACTGCACTTGATTTCTAATCCGTAGTGATTTTCAGTGCAGTGATCTCAAATGACTTGCTGTTTTCCAAAGAATGTGTAGCAAGAAGGACTTAAATATGTAGCAGTAATTCCTAATATGAAATAACCTTGCATTTTTATTGCCAAGTAAACCCTCAGTGGAATAAATGAGCATAGTTTACATACCCAAAACTCTGTATTAAAAATAGATTATGGTTATAGCTTAATACATTCCCCCCAAATGCTCTAAGAGTCAAGCCTAGCTAGTTGGATGTAGCAAGAGATACTTACTCCCAAGTTCTTGGTATAAAATAAGGGCAGAATTTGGAGTCAAAAATTACATTATATCATGGTGGTGCTCTAAGGTAATTGGGTAATACTGTAGGTGTCAGTAAGGATATAGCTAGTGTTTCTACTGGGTCTTAAATACCCTCATATGATTATCTCCTCGTGATTGTACATGTTAAGTTTATTTCAGTCCCCGTATTTCTAGTTGCTCACAGACTGTATCATAAGCATCAGCATTTTTGTTCTCTGTTCTCCGTGATTAATGAGTTATTGTTTTCTGGTACTTTAAAAAGCAGTTTTCAAGCGCAAAATCAAAATTTTTGACAGCTTTTATATTTTGAGCTGAGTGCATCTCTTTCTAGAGTAAGTCAGTGGACCTCTTTTAGAATTAATTAAGAGCACATTATTATCCATCTGATTATATAAAGTCATTTTTAAATTCTGCAGCATAATTGACTGTCTCAAGTTCAAAAGTCAATGTTAATGGGGGGATGGGACACCTGTAATACTTTCAACAATAAAGATAAGTGTTTTTTAAAAATCAGTGTTATCCTTCATAATATAATTTAATAAAATTTCCATAATAAAAAGTCATGTTCTCAAGTAACTGAATGTACAGCCCTTAAACTTCAGGTGGTGGTGAGAAGCGTAAATGCTTTGCAGGTAGTCACTACTACAGCCTGCCCTTAGTCTGTCCGGCTCAGCGAGGCTCCTCATGCAGCCTTTCGAACAAGATGAGATGAGTTGAAATCCAACTAACTGGAGAATACCTTCCCGTTTTGTTTATCGGATCGTGATGATTCTCTTGCTTTTAATTCCTATCTCATTTCTACTTCCTGGTACCCTGGTGAGATAGCAAGTAATCATGCTGACGTTGGTATTAAGACCAAAATTATGATGCTTTTCTTAGTGGGGGAACCCTAAGACGACTCACACAGTCCATGGAGGGGATAAAAGATGGCTCATTCCCATCCTGTTTTGTTTACAAACGGTGTTGCTCAAATTTAGGTGACTGGCTACTAGGGAAATAAATGAATGTGGAATTGAGGATGGAACAAAGAATTCAATGCTTTACAATAAATGGACTGTATTTGAGAGTTCAAGAGAGGATTGGAGAAAATAACTGAGTATGTAAAAAATGGTAAGTTTCTGATTGTTCAGTTGAAGGCAAGTGGCTGGCTCGATGAAATGACATAAATGAGTGTTTTCATCTGGGACCCTGATACCTTAGCCTGTATCTCAGGACCGAGAAATGCGCAGAGTTTATCAGAAAGGATTTTCATTGCTGGTATCTTGTGTGTGTGCATGATGTATAGTACACACAGCTCTCCTTACTGATCCTTCACCAGGTGTATTATTTACTTTGCCTTCCAGGTGTCCGCAAATATGGTAAAGATTTTCAAGCTATTGCAGATGTAATTGGCAACAAGACTGTTGGCCAAGTGAAGAACTTCTTTGTAAACTACAGGCGTCGGTTTAACTTAGAGGAGGTATTGCAGGAGTGGGAAGCAGAACAAGGAACCCAGGCTTCTAATGGTGATGCTTCTGCTTTAGGGGAGGAGACAAAAAGTGCTTCTCATGTGCCATCAGGGAAGAGCACTGATGAAGAAGAGGAGGTGTGTTTGTGTATGGAACTTGAGCTGCTATGAGTCACGGAGTCACCGTCTTGGGTGGTGGCCTGTAAAGTGAATTTGTCAGAGGACTAGCCGAATGAGCGCAGAGGCTGGCAATACACTCGCGCAGCGCGCTCGGGACCCCAAGTCGGTGACGCGCTGAGTCTGACCCTAGCGGAACGGACGGTGTATTGCTCCTTCATAGTCTTATTTTTATTTCCAGTGTTAAGCTGTTTACTAATAATGATGCCTGTTTGGTAGCTTCGTTGCTTTTTCAGTTTTGGGTTTTTTTGTTTTGTTTTGTTTAAAATAAAAGAAGCTTGTGCTTCCCCAAAATACCGGTGTTACGTTTTTGTTTTGTTTTGATTTGGTTTGGTTTCCCTGTGACAGCTCAGACTAGTGTGCGAAGCCCTCAGGAGCCGTGGTCTCACACAGGTGCCTTTGTTTCCCCTCTAGGCGCAGACCCCGCAGG